ATGCCTAGCAGGCAAACGGTCACTATGATTAGTCAGAAAGATGCCATCCTGATTTCCAACAAGGTGAAAATCCCCGTGCCCCTTCAACTGGCTTTCTTTTCCAAGGTAGTGCAGCTGTGAGCCCTCCATGGATAAAATGCCTGTTTTGAAAAAATACACCATTCAGGACTATGACTATGACTATGACAAATCACAGAGACCTCACTACCTCTGAGGATGCTTGCCATAGATGCAGGCAAAACGTCGAGAATGCCTCTAGACCATGGCCATATTTATTTATTTATTTATTTCTGCTACTTATACCCCGCCCTTCTCACCCCCGAGGGGGGACTCAGGGCGGCTTACAAAAAGAAGGCACAATTCGATGCCCTTATCCAAATACATACAAATATAAAACAATTACAATAATTAAACAATTAACAGATTAAAACATCAATATATAACACAATAGCCCGAAAAAACTTACAACAACCTACAGAGAAAGATTTCAGAACAGTACATACCTTGGATAGCTGGGGATTTGCTTTCCTTCTCCTCTGATGCGAGCCATGTTCAGCTGGGCTGCTAAAGCTCTGTGCTTTTCTCCTGCTAATGACCCTAATCTTTTTTGCCAGCTCCTGGGCGGGAAATTGTTTCCTGCTGATTTAAATACAGGTCATCAGGGAATAAATCTCTTGTGGCTTCAAGACAGGAGTTGGTGCCATGCAGAGGTGTTGAATGCCGTTTGCCATCAGCTGCTGAAAAGCCTCTGACATTTTCTGTTACATGGGAGAGGACTTTGAAAGGTGGAGGCACTGAAAATATGCTGGTGTTGTTGTGTGCCTTCCACGTTGACTCAGACCTATGGCAACCCCTTTTCAGGGTTTTCATGGTAAGATTTGTTTATAGGAACTTTTAAATTGTCTTTGTGTGAGGCTGAGATAATGTGATCTGCTTAAAGTTACCATACTGCTTAGGGCTCTTCCAAAATAATATAACAAAAGGACTCTTCATAAAGAGTTTTGAATCCAGGAAAACATCATTTAGATAAGCGGTAATATCAGTGCTAACTGACCACTGAAGTTCTGAAAGACCTGTATCACCTTACTCAGCCATTTGAAAATTTAGGGCAAAAGACATGGTTTACAACTTTCTGTATCCTATTACATTCTGTTCCACTCCTGCAACTGTATACATATGCTTTATACCCAAGAGCCTTAATATTACTTGGCACTGCCTCTGAAGAAGTGGGTTTATATCTATAAGAGCTCATGCTAAACCCAAATCCTGTCCAATTAGTTTTAAAGGTGCTGCCACATTATTATTTTCAATCTCTCCTTTTTAGATTGGAATCCAGTGGCCTGTGAGCAAAATTATGGGCTCTGCAAATTGCATAGCAAGCTAATGTCATGGAGAAAGTATTGCCACGGCACTCTCTCCGGACACTCTAATTCAGGCTGAGCTTCCAGCCAAACTACACATAACATTTATTTATTTATGACATTTCTATCCTGTCTTTCTCACCCCAGAGGGGACTCAAGGCGGCTTTACACACAGGCAATGATTCGTTGCCTTAAAACACAATATAAAGGTAAGTTTTTCCTCTGACATTAAATCTAGTTGTGTCCGAGTCTGAGGGTTGATGCTCATCTCCATTTCTAAGCCGAAAAGCCGATGTTATCTGTAGACATTACCAAAGACATTACCAGCGGTGGCCGGGAGAGCTTTCGCACAATTAAAACTTGTGCGCCAGCTGCGCCCGTACCTTGGGAAGTCGGATCTGGCCACGGTGGTCCACGCTCTTGTCACATCCCGGTTGGATTACTGCAACGCACTCTACGTGGGGTTGCCTTTGAAGACTGCTCGGAAACTTCAACTAGTCCAGCGAGAAGCAGCCAGATTGCTCACCGGAGCGGCGTACAGGGAGCACCACCCCCCTGTTGCGTCAGCTCCACTGGCTGCCGATCCAATTCCGAGCACAATTCAAAGTGCTGGTTTTGACCTACAAAACCCTATACGGTTCCGGCCCAGTGTATCTGTCCGAACGGATCTCCCTCTACATCCCACCTCGAAGTTTAAGATCTTCTGGGGAGGCCCTGCTCTCGACCCCGCCAGTGGCACAAGTGAGACTGGCGGGGATGAGGAGCAGGGCCTTCTCAGTGGTGGCCCCCCACCTGTGGAACTCACTCCCCGGGGAGATCAGATCGACGACTTCCCTTCTAGCGTTTAGGAAAAAACTAAAGACCTGGATGTGGGACCAAGCTTTTGGCCATGCTGACAACTGATTAAAGGACCTATCGATAGACAAGGACAATGGAATGGAATGGATATATGGACTCTGATATATGGACTCTGACATGAGATAGTTTTTATGATTTTAATAGGTATTGATGTTTCATTTTAATTGTTGAACTGTTATATTTTGTATTGTTTGTTGTGTGATTTGGGCATCTAATTGTGCCTCCTTTGTAAGCCGCCCTGAGTCCCCCCCGGGGTGAGAAGGGCGGGGTATAAGTAGATGAAATAAATAAAATAAATAAAAGTCATGTGGCTGGCATGACTGCATGGAGCGCTACTACCTTCCTGCCGGAGCGATACATATTTATCTACTCACATTTGCATGTTTTCAAACTGCTAGGTTGGCAGAAGCTGGAGCTAAAAGCGAGAACTCATGCCACTCCCCAGATTCAAACTTGCAACCTTTTGGTAAGCAAGTTCATCAGCTCAGCGGTTTAACCCACTTTGCCACTGGGGGCTCGAAAACATAATGTATGCTTAAATAAATATTAAAATAGAATTAAAAAGTACATTTAAAACAATTAAAACATTTAAAAAACAATATTCAGAGTTAATGTGTTCCTATTCACAGGTATATGTGTACTTTGTGTTATTAAACGTTATAACTCTTGCTAATATCACTGTTTTTTAAAAAAAGCTTTCCTCATTACATTCTCAATTAATTTCACCTATCCAACTCTAATCATTGTAGCACGGAAGCTGGTGGTGGCACCGAAAGTGATGGAGTGGCAACATTTTCATGTGAGAAAGGAAAGGATTGACATCCTTATAAAGACATCATTGTCGGAGCCAGAAACCCATACCATTGATGCTTAACATTTTTCCAACACACACATGTGCAAATATATGTTTACTATAGAATTAGCTTGGCCTTGATGGAGGTAAAGGGGAGAACATCACCGGAGACCTCTGGAGGGTCAATCCAAGAATCCTGCTAACAGGAGAAGGAATCATGTAGTCCTACAGATGTTGCTAGACTGTAGCTCTCAGCAGCCATTGCTAGTAAGCCAGTTGTGAAGAATGCTAGGAAGAACAATCTTGCATCTTCTGAAGGACCAGTTTCCATTCCACCCTGTAATTGCCAGGTTAGCAGGAAATAGAAGTGCCATATCCCATACTTAACTGTTGTACCTTCAGGCCCTTAGCCATGGTCTTTCTTTAGGTGAAAGAACATAGAAAACGTTGCTTACTAGGCAGTATATAATAATAATCCAATGTGTGGTCAAATACAAAAGCCAGCAAAGTGATCCTGTTTGCTGTGTACTAATCTTGTTATATATCAGTAATAATAATTTTATTTCTTACTCGGTTCTCCTTGTGGCTTGAGGCGAGCTACAATGTTGCTATATATATATAGATAGGTATTGTGAATATATAAGAATTTTCAGCTCTAACAAAATGGCAAATTATTGACTAGCAAATGTAAAATCTGAGACATACAGGACAGGTAGGTTGCCCAAGAACTGATGCTCTGAATTGGTCAGAGTCACAAATTGAAAATTGGGAGATATTAGGGAATTTCCTCCCTTTCCTTTTCCTTCCCTTCCCTTCACAAAATGATGGAATTATCCAAGTAGAAAACATTCCAGACAAAGTATATAATTTTGCATGAGATTCCAAGCCAGAAGCCTACATCTTATATTCCAGATTTAAACATAAAATTAGCACAGAATGCTTTAAGTCTGCAGATGATCAAGACACTGGCAGAATGTGATAATCATAAATTTGGAAATATAACTATCACATTTTCAGGAGTGTCAAACTCATTTTAATTGAGGGCCACAACAGCCTTATGGCTGTCTTCCAAGGGCTCTTGAATCCATAAACAGAATTCATGGGAGGCAAATATAATTGTTTACATAGTGGTCAGTGCGCTTTAGTTTTAACCCAATTTGAGTCCCTAGATATTATTGAATGACAACTCCCATCACTTTTAATTATCTGCCATGCACACTGAGAATAATGAGAATTGTAACGCAGCAGCTCTTGTGGTTCTGAGGCTGGGGGAAGGTTGAAGGACATTTTAATATCAGACATTGTATGCAAAAGCCTTGTATCTAAACTCAAAACCCACTATTAGAACAAATTGCAGCCTTCAAATGGTATTGTATCACAACTCCCATCAGCTCTAGTCATGAAGTTTAATGTTGAGGAATACAGGCGTCATCATCAAGCATCTGGAGGGCCGCATAAAATGACATTGAGGGCAGGATTTGGATCACAGTCCTTAAGTTTAACATGTGTTCTACAAGGTATTTTAAGGCTGTTACGGGGCTTATGATTAAACACAAACTCTGAATCCTATTCTCACCTGAGTTCTTTAAAAATCATTAGAGCAAATGAAAAAATTAAATGTTTCCAGTAGTTCCATTTTGTTGTGGTGGGAAGCATAGTGGTGGATCTACCCCATATCTATGACCTTCTCAGTTTGTGTTGGCCACAGAAACTCGGCATATGGTTTTCTCTGGCTTTTCATCTTGTTCGTTGAGGGAACTGAACAGTCTTGGAACCAAAGCCACTTTTATCTCATTCCTGCAGGAATATATAGGTGGTGGTTCACAGGCCACTGGGATAGAGGGAGTGGTCCTTCCTTTTAGCAGGAAGGGCTCTCTATCCCATCTTCCCTCTTCACCAAAACTAAAGGTTAGGATTGAATTGTTTCATGAATACTGGAAAATTTATCAAAAACAGTGGTAATAACTTACTAAAATTAAAACACAAAATTTTGGTATCAAACATTGACAACATTTTAATTAAATTAACATTGTTGTATGTAAAAAGCACCAGGTATTAATATGTTTCATTGCTTTTACAAACTCAATAAAGACAAAATACAACCCAAGTAGAAAAACAGATAAAAAATTAAATACATCAGTAAACATTTGTAAGCTTAGGATATTCACGTCTCTCCCTCATCCTTACTGGCTTTAGATTTGCATTACTGGCAGATAATTCTTATGTACTGCAGAAAATGACATGCATAAAGAAATTAGGAAATAGTTCAAAATGTACCTACAACCTACAAGTTCTCCCATAACTTGGTGTCATATCTTGAGGACTGATTTTATTGTTTCATGAAGGAGACTAAAGCATTGTTTGTTAGAAAATCTCGTATTAACAAAGTACATACTACTTAGATTTGGCATTTCATTGTAATTTTCTACATATTTTTCTATGAAGAAATGGGAGGCAAAGGGGGGAACATTGGCTTTTGCCACTCTTTCAGGAATTCAAGATTATTTAGTGGCAAAGTTGCCCTGCCCACCCATTACGTTACTCTTTAGAACAAAACAAAAAACAAACAAAAAAACAAACCCACAAATTACTATTTAAGAAATGTCAGATGATTGAAGTCTTGCTGAGAAATGATATAAATCATAATTATGCAATTAGTATAACAATGCTGCAGCTTGTTTGAAATGGAGGTAGTGAAACACTTGTTTCAGAGCATTCTTTCATATAAATTCAAGTTCCTTGTAGTGTCAAAAAACAGTATCATGACAGCAAATTACATCGCTTTTCTAAACAGGGGATCTACAAAACCAAAATAACAGACTTTCCAACCAAATGCCCAGACTCCCATTATATAACCATACAAATTTCCCAAAATTCAGGATTTGGCTAGGGAAAATTTTTAGCTGCTTAATTTCTCAAAATTAAGCATCACACATTTCATGTTAACACATCATACACATATAACAACAAAATTAGTATAAATTGCATTTCAAGTATTAATGCTGCTCTTCCCAGACATCTTACAACAAGCTGCCTGAACCACTGTGCCCTGAAAAATTCTACTTCATTCAAGGAAGATCCCAGAAGTGAGTGAATCCAAGTATGCCTTAATCTTATGAAAGCAGGAATCAACAACAGACTGTCCTTCCACAGCTTGGTGCATCAAAGGCCTGTCATGGGATGAAAGTTTAAGACCGACTCCTCCCGATACAGGAATTGTCATGAACACTTGGATTATTTTATCTAAAAGGAATGTCCATCAGCATTCAAGTTATGAATATTACTTTCAAGTACAGGTCTGTGTAACTTCTCTCCAAGTTGAATTTAAAAATCTAATTTACAGATTTGCTTTCATTAAACAGATATAAGAGTAGTTGTCTCCAGCTTTTAGGAAATATGCAGTTCTTTGCTTCAGACACTTGGGACAGATCCCCGATATAGGCAGAAATAAATCTTATTTCTCTACAAATGCTGCAGCCGCCATAGAGGACCTCATGTTTCCTCTTGCCGAAGAAGTGAATCCCTCTATTTCAGCTTTCAGTTTGTTGATCACCCATTCCAATGCTTCACGACCCTGTAAGAATACATATTTTGTATTAGGAAGCCAAGAAATAATATCTTTGATCTAGTTGTGAAAGAAAGTTACTTGTTACAACAAATGTAAAGTCTGTAAAGCAATTGTCACATATAATACATTTGATCTAATTTATGATTCACCTTCCTGGCCTGTTAAAGTCATTTAAACAAAGTAGTCCTAAGTAGTCTAAGGACTACCTGTTGCCATATTTTAAGGGATGTTTTGTGTTTTTCTGTCATTGGACATAAGAACATTCCCCTTCCTGAGTAGCCAATTCAAATTTTAGATTAACGAAAATGTAATTTGGTATGTGTGCTTTGACTGTGTTGTACACTGCCTCAAACCATGAGAGTTGCGTAACAAAATTTCTTATTATTAAGAGACGCACTCCTGTTTACTTATTATTTTACTTATCTGCTGCATTTATACTGGGAGTGACACATTGTGTCACCTTTACTTGCCTGAGTAATTAAATATCTCTGAATCATTAGGTGTAGATACGATTTCAGGTAGAAAGCCAGAAAACATATTCTAAATATAGCAGGAATACTAGGACCAGGAAAAGTTCACTCCAAAAAATTATAGTATGACTACTATATCCATAAGACCATTCGTGGTTCCATTTATCCACATCTGACAAAGTCTGTCGGGTGTGCTTTGAATGCTATTTTCCTGCTTTTTGGCAGGGGGTAGGACTGGATGGCCCATGAGATCTCTTCCAACTCAATGATTCTATGTCTTCTCCAGACATTTTCTAATTTCCAGTGAAGCTCTATGGTCTTCTTTAGCAAGAAGACCTTAATTTCAATTGGGATAGTGATTATCCCTCATGTATCCAAGTGAAAACCAGGAACATATTCCCCAACAGATAAGGGGGGTGTACTATAATTGTCTTTATAGACATAGCTTTGAAATGTCAGTATTTCCATGCTAAAAGGGTTTTTTTTAACCCAGAGGAAAATTTGATGTAATAGAGATTAGCAATTAATATCTGGAGCCCCCAATGTCATTTTCGGTTCTCCAATACTCCCGATTTTTTGAAAACAGTATTTTAAACTGCAAGGCTTGCATACTGCAAAGAACATTGGCCCATTTCTCACCTATATAAGTAACTTGATTTCTGTGAGTTAGACATTTTGTTGTGCTTCGTAGAAGAAAATAGTTTTTCTTCATGGTAGCACAGCATTTAAAACTGTTAGCTGCAGAAAAAGCTGCTTATCGGAAGGTTAGCAGTTCAAAGCCGTGAGTTGGGGTGAGCTCCCGATTGTCAGTCCTAGCTTCTGCTAAACTAACAGCTAGAAAGCATGCAATGCAAGGAGATCAATAGGTACCACCTCGGCAGGATGGTAAAAGGGTGCCCCACGCAGACATGCCGGCAAAAAAGATTAGAGATGTCTATGGACAGCAGGCTCCTCGGCATGGAAAATGGAACAAGAGCACCTCCCCGTGGCTGGAGTTGAGAATCACCTCCAGGCACCGGAGTTGAAAAAGAGGGAAGGCCTTTACCTTATCTGTGTATAGTATGTCGTTGTTTGTTGTGTAAAAGGCACTGAATGTGCCTTTTACACAACATGATGCCGATCTGGAGCATGTGTACTGTAATCCGCTCTGAGTCCCTTTGGGGAGATAAAATGGAATATAAATAAATTGTATTATTATTATTATTATTATTATCATTATCTTCATTATCATTGTAATTATTATTATTATTCTCAGAGGTTGGGACTCCACTTGCATTTGTTTCTTTGTTTTGTTGTTAAGTCTTTTCAGTTTATCTTTTCTAAAATGGGCGCTGAAGCAGAAAACTATGAATTCAAAATAGTTTCAAATCTGCTTGCAGTGAAATCAGTCATGCAGTGGTGTCTTTGCATGTCTCCCTATCACAGGGCAGTTACAGAAGTATGCAATATTATCTCTGTACCACAACAGCAGGACCCAAGGTTAGATATGTCTATTTGGCCAAGCTTCTGGATATTGTGATATTTAAGACAGGAACTTTTCAAGTTCATAGCTCATACTGGATTGCAAGACTCTCCCAATTATTACAAAGTTCAAACATCAGCGCTTCAGAAACAGATGGCATTACATACGTTTTTAGCATTAGACGATATTGTAGTTTCTATTAAGCCTTCTAGGTAACTGCTGACTTTAACTCCTTTCACACATATTGTTGCTTCTTGAGTCAAAATGGTTCTAAGGGAACAGAAAAACAAAAACAGAGCAGTTCATCAACTCATCTCTAAAACTTAAATAAACAAGTACTTTCATTGTCCACCAGTTCTGCCCTTCTGAAAATAAGTGTGCTATAAGCCATGAATGCAACTAACCCTTTTGGAAATAGGTGGGATAATACCAGACCTCTTTGACCTGTCTCACAAGTTGTAGACTTTAGCTCTCAGAGGTTCCAGGCAATATAACCAGTCATCAGAAGTTGTGTGAGCAGAGGTCCCAAACATTGGAAAAACCAATTTTTGAGAACAAATATGTTTAGGTAACAAATAGAATATCTGGCTAATCAAGTCTCCAGGGCCAGATGAACTACACACAAAAGAATTAATAAAAGAACTGGCAGAAGTAATTTCAGAACCATTGGCAATCATATTTGAGAATTCCTGGAGGAGAGGAGAAGTTCCAGCAGACTGGAAGAAGGCAAATGTTGTTCCTATCTTCAAACTGAGAAAAAAAAGATTTACTGTCCAGTCAGCCTGACATCAATACCAAGAAAGATTCTGGAGACTGTTAAGGACACAGTCTGTAAGCACTTGGAAAAGAATGCCATACTCATAGAAGGCCAACATGGGTTTCTCAAAAACAAGTCATGCCAATGGGAAATTCTAGTCAATTGAATGGTTTAATAAGCTTTGTTCATCTTTTAAGTATCATAAGACACAGGTTTATTGTTTCGCTTATTTCATAAAGACCCACTAATCTGCTCACCAGTCTAGAAAGTTATCTAAAGTAGAACAATGAAGAAACAGCACTTACTTATCTGGCTCTTGAGGGTGCGGTTTATATATCAGTGTCTCATCTACTGACACCAGATTTGTAAATGAAATCTAGAAGAGATTTAAATGTGTTTTAAGTCTTAGAGTAAACACGTGACATTCAGTAAAAAATTAGTAGAAGGATAAACATTAATTTAATCTAAAGTTACTAGGTCTAAGTTACAATATTCTCCTTATAGACTTCATAGCACTACTTCCTAAAGACAACATTACACACACTACACCACAAACTGGAAAGAAATACGCAGTTATTGACTGCCAGACTCATAAAAGCTTATAGCTAAACAGAAGGCAGCACAATTTGGCACAGAATCTAGCGTACAAAATACTTCTGAAGGGAAAAATCACATTGTGTCGCTAAAATGTGTTTCTTCTGCTCAGTTTCAGAAAAGATGCAATGCTGGAAATAAAACAATAGTACCACATAATTTATCTGAATAACAAATATGCCTGTAAAAAAACTATTGTCAGTGACTTTTGCAAGCCCGAAGGCACAAGAGAACAGTCTACTAAAGTTATTTAAGTTAAAAGCAATTTTTGTAACACTTACATTAGTAGACTTGAGCTCCATTATTTTTTCCACTGGATCGACTATGGAGTGTTCCTGTACATATGTTTTTTCTCTACAAGATCCAATAAGCTAGAAGAGAAAGAGCCAGGATTATTTAACTTACTACTATGTTAACCATCAACAGGCCTGCGTTTCAGATAGATATTCAACACTGCTCAGTTTATGTACACTGTTTCACCTTTCATGTTATGGACTTGAAATATTACTTTATGTTAACTGACGGCATTAATGGCTACAAGATAGCTGCATTTCACCTTCAAGATCATATGACAGATAGAGCAGTTGCGGTCAAGAACTTAGAATCATAGAATAATAGAGTTGGAAGAGACTGCATGGGCCATCTAGTCCAACCCCCTATCATGCAGGAAAAGCACAGTAAAAGTATCCCTGACAAAGGGCCATCCAGCCTCTATTGAAAAGTTTCCAAGGAAGGAGCTTCCATCACACTCTAAGGCCGAGAGTTCCACTGTTGAATAGCTCGTACAGTCAGGAAGTTCTTCCTAGTGTTCAGGTGGAAACTCCTTTCCTGTAATTTGAACCTATTGTTCTGAGTCCTAGTTTGAAGGGCAGCAGAAAAAAAGTCTACTCCCTCTTTCTTATGATGTTCTTTCACATATTTATATATGGCTATCATGTCTCCTCTCCACCTTCTCTTTTGCAGGCTAAATATACCCAGTTCTTTAAGATATTCCTCATAGGGCCTGGTCGCCAGACCTTTGATCATTTTAGCCACCCTCTTCTGGACACCTTCCAGCTTGTCAGTATCTTTTTTGAACGGTGGTGCCCAGAATTGGACACAGTATTCCAGGTGAGGTTTAACCAAAGCAAAATAGAGAGGGACCATGACTTCCCTCGATCTTGACATTATACTCCTTTTGATGCAGCCCAAGATCACACTGCCCAAGATCACACTGTCGGCTCATGTTCAACTTGTTGCCCACAAAGACTCCAAGATCTTTCTCATGTGGACTGCTGTCGAGCCAGGAATCTCAGATTTTGTATCTTTGCATTTCATTTTTTTTCTGCCTAAGTGCAGTGTTTTACGTTTGTCCTTGTTGAAATTCATTTTGTTAGTTTGGGCCCAGCTCTCAAATGTTAAGGTACTTTTGAATTCTGATCCTGTCCGCTGGAGTATTAGCTATCCTTCTGGAAGGCATCTCATGGAATTGAACAGAATGCTAAATTTGACAGTCTTGTTGTCAAAATGCCAGACTACGAAGTGTGAAATATATGTTCTCAACTACAGTACTGCTTCTTTGTACTCTTTCACTTTTGTCTGAATATTGTTTCAAATTAAGAAGTTCTCGCATTCTGTATTTTTCTTATTTGTAACTAATTTTTAAAATCCTGTAATTGAAAAAGAAAACCCACCATTCTATAATACTGATTCATCCTGCAGCTGTTAAAATTTCACAATGGTAATGACCCAGTTATGCCAGCTATTTGCAATTACTTTTTTGGCTGCTAAGCACTGTTCTTGGTCCTAGATAAACAAAACAGTCAGAGTTTTGCTTGTATATACCTAAACCCTATAGCATAGTGCTATTGAACAGAAATACTTAGCTGAATATTTGATTTTCTTTCCATCTTATTTTTCCTATACCAATATTTGTATACTGTAGCCAAGTGAACTTTACATAGAAAATGTTTGCTATGTAAACCTGTAGCTGACATTCACAGGTTTTTTAATGAACAGAAGATCAATCAATCTAAACAGATGGTATCATTATACTGCTCCCTGTATTACAGTATGCTAAGACATTAATTCGAGCTATAAAACATGTGTGAGAAAGAAACTGTTAGGAAGAGTTTCATAGGCCTCTTCTACACTGCCAGATAATCCAGGCTATCAAAGCAGAAAATCCACATTATTGGATTTGAACTGGATTATCTTAGTCTATACTGCCATATAATCCAGTGGATTTTATTCAGCTGTGTAGAAGGGGCCTTAGATACTCTTTCTGCCACCATGGGAATAAGGGATTTTGAAAGCAGACTAAACAAATACCAGTATACCAGCTGCTTCCATTATAAAATGGGAAATGAATGGACAGCTCAGTCCAAGAAGTCAGCCCCTTACAATTATAAGTAACATTGAACTATGGCTGATCCCCTCGAAAACAGAATGAATTTACTTCTTTGTGTTATGAACATTGGCAGCAAAATGCAGAGATGAGTAAACTAGGTGCTCAAAAATGCAATTTCAAAGTGAGTCCCAATGTATTGTCGAAGGCTTTCATGGATGGAATCACTGGGTTGTTGTGAGTTTTCTGGGCTGTATTCTCTCCTGACGTTTCACTTTAATCTATGGCAGGCATTCTCAGAGTCCCAATGTTGCTTTCAGAAAAGACCATCTAAGTATATTTTAAATATGCAAAACTATATGCATATTTAGACAACTTCTGCCTTAAATCCCAATATTACACTTACCGCTTTTGCAATTGATGGCATCCCCCATACTGTACTGAGTAATCTGCGGCTATGTAACTTTCCACTGGGATCTACATGTCGGTCAAGGACATCGACTCCAACCACATTGGGATTCATGGGGTTGGGATATTTCTGCATGGCAGCTGTTGTAACCATCTCCCAGGGGTGACTGCCAGGGATAAACAAAAACACCAAGCCAGTTTTCAGTACATTGTATTTAGATGGTTATACTTTAAGGACATTTTGAACACTGACTATTGTAAAAACAATAATCTTGTTGGTATTTCACAGCTTAAGACCAGGCAGATCACAAAAAAGACCCCTCAGTGTTCCAGCAGTTCCAAAAATACATAATCAACTCAATCTGCTCCAGAAATACAGTAAAGGGGAATCACCCATCACATAAAGAAAATTCTGCATAAATAGAAAATTCTCCAGTGAATGAGCAATGAATCTTGAACATTGTGCAAGTTTGCTTCTGGCCTGTAGACGTTAAAAGATCTCGACAGTGGGGGAACTGAGTGTTACAAAGTGTTTCAAACGGATGGCCCCAATTCCAAAGCAGAACAATGGCAACATGTAACAGTTACACAAAAATCAAACGGTTTAATGACTTATCATGTTATCATGTTGTACTAACCATCTCGACCCAGAATCATATCTTTTAAAAAAATCACTCTGCAAATGGAGAATACCTCATTAGGTCTTATCTTGAGACTGTGGCTGTTTGTGCACTGGAAGAGGCATCAGGCTGCCATTATCTGAAAATCTATGCCCACCCTTTCAAGTGGGAAGAAGAGCTCATTTATGGGTGGCTCCTGCTTGCAGAGATAAGAGTGATTTCAAATCAAGTCCATCTTTTTGCAACATGCTGTGCACAAGGATAAGACAAAGCTCTATATCAATTTCAATTTGAAAGACTGTATGCTTTGATAAGCTGATATCATTTGGGATGAGGTGGGAGGTGAACAGAACTCAAGCTGTAATTACAACTAAAATGTGATCAAACCTAGCGACTGCAGCAGGCTGCCGAATCCACGTTCCCCAAACAACAGAGGCTGATATGCCTCATGATAAGACACGTGCAGCCTTGATAGAATGAGAGACTCAAGGGGCTGAGACAACATGCCACAACACTGTTTAATCAGTGGAGCAACGGAACCACAATTAGGAGAATTTGCACACGATAATAAACCCAAGTGGATGGACTATAGCCACACAGTTAACAAAACACTAAGGGCAACTTAAAACTTGCGCGATTATTGCTCACCTTCATTCAGGCCCACTGGGAAAGAGGGCACTGACTCTAAATAGATGGAGGATGTCTGCCAAAATTAGCCTAAGATGAAAGACCTGTTTTTCATGTTTTCTGTCCTATTTTAGAACCCCGCACATGTATTTTGCAACCTAATGCAAAATCGTACATACGTACAACTTCCCAGCTATTCTCTTTTTGGAAGGAAGGTGGGGAAAAGGAGTTGTTATCCTAAATCCACTTTTGATAATCTTTCACATTAATTCTCCTCCATCTCCCACTGTTACTATCGAGAAGAGACCACTGGGATGTCATATGTGCTAAGCATGAACATTTTACAGAAAGGTCAGAAGACCCAAATCCAGGCAGCAAAAGAAGTAGGGAATTACCCAGGGGTTGAATAATAAAGAGCAGCTTCATAATGGAAATAATTCAGTCATGTGAACTATTTGTAACCCCCTTTATTCAGCTGCCAGAAAGATTTGGTTCTGGATAACCAAAACCCAATCATTTCCTTGGAATTTGCAAGTTCCAGGCTAGATCTACATTGCCAAACAATATAGTCTGGATCTACACTGCCATATAATGCTGTTTGCAACTGTATTATATGGTCAATGTGGACCCCATACAATGATGTTCAATGCCGTATGGGTCTACACCAGGCACGGGTAAACTTCAGTCCTCCAGGTGTTTTGGACTTCAATGCCTACAATTCCTAGCTGGGAATTCTTAGGGTAAGCAGGCTGGGATTTCTGGGAGTTGAAGCCCAAATACCTGGAGGGCCAAAGTTTACCTATGCCTGGTCTACACTGACATATAATGCAGTTCCAAACTGCAATGTATGGCAGAACAGATCCAGCCCGGTTCTCTCTGCCTCTCAGGAAGGCAATGGCACCCCTGTTCTGAACAAAATTTGTCAAGAAACCCATGAGATCTACACTGTCATATAATGCAGTTTGAAACTATGGCTAGATCTACACTGCAGTTTGAACAGCATTATGCGATTAGTATAGACCAGGCATGGGCAAACTTCGCCCCTCCAAGTGTATTGAACTTCAATTCCCATAATTCCTAACTGCCTGCCGGTTGTTAGGAATTGAAGTCCAAAACAGCTGGAGGACCAAAGTTTGCCCATGCCTGGTATAATAATAACAATAACATGCCTGGTGTAGATCGTTTCCAACAGATACCAAATCTATCACGGGCTGGAGCTACCCTGCCATATAATGCAGTTTTAAACTCTACCGGCTGTTAGGAATTGCTGGAGTTGAAGTCCAAAAACTCTTGGAGATCTGGTTTGGCCATGAATGATATAATAATAATAATAATCCCAGTGTTGATCGGCACACTGGGTGTAGTGCCTAAAGACCTTGGCCTGCACTTAAATACAATCGGCGCTGACAAGATTACCATCTGCCAGCTGCAAAAGGCCACCTTATTGGGATCTGCATGCATTATTTGCCGAGACATCACACAGTCCTAGATACTTGGGAAGTGTCCGACGTGTGATCCAATACAACAGCCAGCAGTGTCTTCTGTGGACTCATCTTGTGCTGTTTTAAGTAATAGTACCAATAATAATAATAGTAATAGACCAATAAAATGCAGTTCAAACTGTATTATATGGCTGTATAGATCCAGCCTAAATTATATGATCAGTGTAGATCCATCATGGGCAAACTTCAGCCCTTCAGGTGTTTTGGACTTCAACTCCCACAATTCCTAACAGCCTGAAGTCCAAAACACCTGGAGGGCCAAAGTTTGCCTATGCCTGCTATATACCCATGAAGAATTTTAGAAATTTTAGCCAAAGAAACAACCAAAAAACTGGGTTGATTTATCCATGGGTCATTGTGAGTACTGTACCTAATGCTTATTGAATAAAGAAACACCCCCTTCTACGAGTACAGCCGAAAAAGACAGAAGCTTAGTTCGTCCCTGGAGAACGTGAAAGAAGCACCCACCTCCTCTAAAACTCTCCATGGTGGTGTCACCTCTGGCTTTTTTGGAATGGCTGAAAATGGCAGAGACAGCAGCCTGGGACAGCTGGCCACCCAAGGCAGCATTGGTGCTTTTGGCTGTTAGGAATTGTGGGAGTTGAAGTCCAAAACACCTGGAGGGCTGAAGTTTGCCCATACCTGGCATAGATCCAAATAATACAGTTTGAAATACACTGAACTGCATTATACGGCAGTAACGACCCAGCATAAGTCATATGGTAAATCCACATAATGCACTATATGGGTTTAAGACCGAATTACATGGCAGTGTAGATCCATCCCGTGATAGGGTTGGCATCTGTTGGAAATGACTTGCAGGTGCAGAACAATGACACCTGAACCTATGTAGCCTCGAATACTAAAAGTGTCCCCTTATCCTGAATTCCAAAACCGTCCACGCGGGTGGCTGAGATAGTGTTATTTTTCAATATTACACCGGCTAAGTGTATTAGGTGCATTTGAAACTCATAGTGTCATTTCCAAGATTATATCTATCGTTATATCTACCTAAGCATTCCAAAATCCAAGCCTGGGCCAACTTGGGCCCTCCAGGTGTTTTGGACCGGCTGTTAGGAATTGTGGGAGATGGAGTCCAAAACACCTGGAGGGCCCAAGTTGGCCCAAGCCTGCTCTATACTAGAATGAATGTATCATCATCATTATCATCATCACTATCACTCACTCGAAGGTATGTTCTGAAGTCCAGATCTTCATCATGGGATGTGGAATGGAAGCCTTGAATATATTCTTCTTCTCCTTCCTGACTCCTCACCAGGTCTGTCCTCTTTCCCAGACCGGCTCCGTCTGAGGGGGAACGAAAAAAACGGTCCATGAAAAGGATGGGGAGCAAAGTGGGCGGGGTCTTGATCAAGAAGGCCCCGCCCCCTCCCCTCTCGACACCTCTGATAGGGCGGCGCTCGACTCGCGGGCGGGTGACGTCAAAAAAAAACCCAAACCACCGCTTCCAACTGCTGCCGCACGCGACCGGCGCGTGCGGCGAGCGAGCGAGCCAAGCGTGCGCGAGAGCGCGCAGGGTTCTTCCCCCCCTCCCTCCTCCCTTCCCTTCCCCCACACACACCGCTTCTAAGTTCTGAGGAACCGTTAGGAGTGCGAAGCAAAATAGGTAGGTAGATAGGCAGGCGCGCGCGGCGGCGCAGGCGCAGTCCGCCTCTCTCCAGGCGCGCGTGCCCGGGAGCGTGACTGCGGTTCCTTCAGAGCTGCAGTCAGGCGGGAGAAGCACGAGGGAAGGGAAGGAGGGAGGAAAGGGAAGGAGGGAGGGAGGGGTGCCCTTGCGACGCCTTCCTCCTTTGGGCATGGAGGCCTCCCAATTTGGCATTTCAAGGGTCTTTGGATAGATAGGTAGATAGATGGGTAGATAGATAGATAGATAAGGTAGATAGATAGATAAGGTAGATCAAGTAGATAAAATTAGATAGAATGATTGATAGATTGGCTAGGTAGATTGATAGATCGATTAGCTAGATGAAATAGATTAGATAGATAGATTAGATAATAGATAAAATATTGGTTGGATTACTGTAATGCGCTCTACGTGGGGCTGCCCTTGAAAACGGCTCGGAAATTCCAACTGGTTCAACGGGCGGCGGCCAGGATGTTAACTGGTGCCCCTTACAGAGAGAGGTCACCCCTCCTGTTTAAGGAGCTCCACTGGCTGCCGTTTACCTACTGAGCCCAATTCAAGGTGCAGGTGCTTACCTGTTGTTCATTTGTTCAGTCGTCTCCGACTCTTCGTGACCTCATGGACCAGCCCATGCCAGAGCTCCCTGTCGGCCGTCACCACCCCAGCTCCTTCAAGGTCAGTCCAGTCACTTCAAGGATGCCATCCATCCATCTTGCCCTTGGTCGGCCCCTCTTCCTTTTACCTTCCACTTTCCCCAGCATCATTGTCTTCTCTAGGCTTTGCTGTCTCCTCATGATGTGGCCAAAGTACTTCAACTTTGTCTCTAGTATCCTTCCCTCCAATGAGCAGTCAGGCTTTATTTCCTGGAGGATGGACTGGTTGGATCTTCTCGCAGTCCAAGGCACTCTCAGAACTTTCCTCCAACACCACAGTTCAAAAGCATCTATCTTCCTTCGCTCAGCCTTCCCTAAGGTCCAGCTCTCACATCCGTAGGTTACTACAGGGAATACCATGGCTTTGACTATGCGGATCTTTGTTGCCAGTGTGATGTCTCTACTCTTTACTATTTTATCGAGACTGGACATTGCTCTCCTCCCAAGAAGTAAGCCTCTCCTGATTTCCTGGCCACAGTCTGCATCTGTAGTAATCTTTGCACCTAGGTGCTTACCTACAAAGCCCTAAACGGTTTGGGACCTGCCTACCTGCGTGACTGCATCTCCGTATATGAACCCACGCGCTCCCTCCGTTCATCCGGAGAGGCCCTGCTCACGATCCCACCTGCGTCGCAGGCTCGTTTGGTGGGGACGAGGGACAGGGCCTTCTCTGTGGTTGCCCCCCGACTTTGGAACACCCTCCCCAAAGACATTAGACTAGCACCCACGTTGGCAGTCTTTAGGAAAAACTTGAAGACCTGGCTATTCCGATGTGCCTTTCCGGATTAGGATAACCTCCAGCACTACGTCCCAGAAGCACTTTATTAGAGCTTAAGACTCTCAGCACATTGCACTTGCCCAGAATACCAACATATCACCTCTTACACCCAGCACTTTTTTAACCTGTACCCTTCATTGGCCTGGCCCTGGTTTTATTGCGTAATAGTGGAATGTTTTGTTGTTATTATTACTTACGTTTTTAATTTGCTTGCATTGTATTGTTATTGTCTTTTGTTGTTGTTTGAGGCCTTGGCCTTTGTAAGGCACATCAAGTCCTTCGGGAGATGCTAGTGGGGTACAAATAAAGTTTAATAATAATAATAATAATAATAATAGATTAGATAGATAAAATAGATTAGATAAATAGACAAAATAAATTAGATAGATAAAATAGGTGGATAGATAAAATAGGTGGATTAGATAGATAAAATAGATTAGATAGATGGATGCGCTAGATAGATAAACCAGATGGATTACATAGAACAGATTAGATAGATAAAATGGATTAGATAGATGGATGGATTAGATAGATAAAATAGATTACATAGATGAAATGGATTAGATTAGATAAAATAGATAAGATAATAGATGGATTAGAGATAGATTAGCTCAATTAGACAAGATAGATACAATGGATTAGGTTAGATTGATTAGATAGATTAATAAATAAATAAATAAAATGGATTAGATTGATAAAATAGATTTAGAGAGAGATTAGATAAAATAGATTAGATAGATCGATTAGAAAGATGGGATAAATAGATGGATTAGATAGATGGATGGATTAGATAGATAAAATAGATTAGATAGATTAATAAATAGATAAAATTGATTAGATAGATTAGATAGATAAAATAGATTACAGAGAGATTAAATAAAATTGATTAGATAGATCGATTAGAAAGATCGGATAGGTAGATAAAATGGATGGATTAGATAGATAAAATAGATGGATTAGAGATAGATTAGATAGATCAATTAGACAAGATAGATGGACGAGATAGATCAATTAGACAAGATAGATAAAATAGATAGATTAGATAGATTGATTAAATAGATAAAATAGATACATTAGATAAATAAATAGATAAAATGGATTAGATAGATTTGATAGATTAGAGAAAATAGATTAGAGAGAAAATAGATTAGATAGAATAGATCGATTAGATAAATGGGATCAATAGATAAAATAGAAAGATTAGATAGATCGATTATATATATTATATAGAATTATTTCCAGAGAGGAGTCTATTTGCAGGCTTGCACTCTAGAAGGAGATGGCAGGGGTCCTTCCACACAGCCCTATATCCCAGAATATTAAGGCAGAAAATCCCACATTATCTGAATGTGGATTTAGATAACCCACTTCAAAGCCGATATTGTGGGATTTTTTTGCCTTGATATTCTGGGATATAGGGTTGTGTGGAAGGGCCTTGACTCATACACAGAAGGGTGGAGAGAATAGAAAGCAGGGGATGCACTGTTAATTATAATAATATAGCCTGTAGATTAAAGAATCAATTATAGTGCCTTTAATAATTGTTTCTAGCCAATATATACCTGGCCTTGCCTGGTATGCATTTTGTTTGTGACTCTTGCTTCCGTTTCTTTCATACACCTTGTCTCTTTTTTCTTACCTTCTTCCTTTGATTTCCCTCGTACGCTTTACCCATCTTTTTGTCTCCTTTATTTTCTGTCATCACCCCTTCCTTTGTTCCTTCTTCTCTTCCATTTCCTCATACCCTTTCTCCTCTCCTTTCTCTTCCCTTCTTCCTTCCCTTCCCTCCCCAATAACCTTTCCACCTTTCTCTCTGGACCTTTCCAGAATATCAAGGCAGATAATCCACAATATCTGCTTTGAACTGGGTTATCTGAGTCCACACTGCCATATAATCCAGTTTGATGTAGATTTTATACAGCTGTGTGAAAGGAGCCTTTCTCTCTCTACCTGTCCCTTCTTTTTCCTTCCTTCCTTTCATCACTTAGTAGCAGCCAATCCATTTCACTCCCTTTCCCTGTCACTTGACAGAGGGCCACTTCACCTAGCAACAATCTTATCTGCTTTATTCCTTCCCCTCTGCTCTGGGGTGTTTTTTTTAAAGTCCAAACCCCTCCATAATTTTAAGTTGGATCATGAAGGGTATATGTACCAAGTCTGGTTCAGATCCACTATGCCACGTAGGAGTCTTTGGGGTATAAACCAACCAACACACATGCTTTGATTTGGTAAACTAGCAATTATAGTCTCCTTAATCATTTTTATATTGCAATGTGAGGTAGCGTTTAAAGTGACAGTCAAGGCTCTCAGTTCAAAATCTAGGATAGATACCTGGGGGTATCTATACTGTAGAAATAATCTAGTTTGTCACCACTTTAACTGCCATGCCTCATTTTAATGGAATTCTTGGATTTGTCTTTAGATTTATCTGCAAGATGGTGCTTCACCAAACTACAAATCTGGGGGGAACCGCAGTCCTACTATTAGCAAGTCGGAACGTGTCCAGAGAAATGCGGCCAAAATGATCAAAGATTTGGGAACCAAGCCCTATGAGAAACAGCTTCAGGAGCTGTGTATGGTTAACTTGGAGAAGATAAAGTTAAGAGAGAACATGATAGTCATGTTTAAACGTTTGGAATGATGTTACATTGAAAAGGAGGCAAGCTTGTTATCTGCTGCTCTAGAGATTGGATTCAGATCAATGGATTCAGATCAATGGATTCAAACTGCAAGAAAAAAAAAGATCCCACCTAAATGTTAAGAAGAACAACCTGACAGTAAGAGCTGTTTGTCAGTGGAATATGGAGTCTTCTTCTCTGGAGGTTTTTAAGCAGAGGCTGGATGACCATCTGTTAGGAGTGCTTGGATTGTATAGTTCTGCATAGCAGAGGGTTGAACTGGATGGCCCTTGTGGACTCTTCCATGAGTCTACCTTGGGCTTAGTAATGGAAGAAAACATATTAGAAATGAATAAAATGACATAAAAGATTGATACATGTTTTAAATACCATTCTTCAAGTTGGATGTTAAACTGATCAACTGTGGAAGGCTTGCTTTGTGCCTATAGATTTTTTTTTTTACTTTTAGCAATCCTAAGGCAAATCTATTGTGAGGGTTTCTTCACAGAATTTGTGGAGAGAGGGCTTGCGCTTGTCTTCCTCTAAGGCTGAGAGAATGTGACTTGTTCAGGGTCACCCAATGGGTTTCTTTAGTTGAGTGAGCATTTGAATCCCAGTCTTCTCATGTCCTAGTCCAAACCAGAAACCAGTAGACATGTTGGAATTTTGATT